TGAGTCTGTAAGGGCTTATCTTAATTGACTTGGAAAAAAGAAGACAGCTTTGTTGAACCAGACTTGCTCAATACGGCGTAGGTGTAAATCTCACATGTTGTAACTTAGCAAGGCAACAGTCCCTTGGACAGCATACTAAACTGACTCAACTAAAATATGTACAGTATATGAGAAAAGATTGAAATGGATATTTTATACTGGTGGGGTGCTGATTGGTTCAGACTCTCCAAGCGCCCCTATTGTCTAGGGAGAGTCCAAGATTTACAAAAGTCATCCCCGTTTCTGATTTGATTCCAGAATGTCCCACTTTTCCATAGGATGTCCCTGTTTTCATTAGAGAAGAGTTGGAAAGTATGGTAAAGGGACCCCTGACCGTTAGGTCCAGTCGCGAACGACTCTGGGGTTGCAGTGCTCATCTTGCTCTATAGGCCGAGCGAGCTTTCGGGTCATGTGGCCAGCATGACTAAGCCGCTTCTGGTGAACCAGAGCAGCCCACAGAAATGCTGTTTACCTTCTCGCTGGAAGCACTTTGATGTGCTTCCGAACTGCTAGATTAGCAGGAGCAGGGACCGGGCAATGGGAGCTCACCCCGTCGCAGGGTTTCAAACCGCCGACCTTCTGATCGGCAATCCATAGGCTCTGTGGTTTAACCCACAGCGCCACCAGCGTCCTGGAAGGTATGGTAGGACATCCCTATTTTCATCAGAGAGATGGAGGGCATGGAGTTATGAGAGCCCCAAGCCAGGGCAATAAGTAACTATACAACCTTTAGAATACATCTGAAGGCAGCCCTGTATAGGGAATTTTTTTTTGCAGACTGATTTTTACCACTGAATGCCAGTTGGGTTTTCAGCAGATTGACATTTGCTCCGATTCAGCACGAAAGAGAGGGTTTCCCCAGAGAAACCAGCATGGCCAGTGGAAAACCACTCGGACCTGTGTTTCCTAGGCATGTAACAATAGCAAGAATTGTCCCCAGACAATACAGGACCAAGTGAGCAGCACAGCACAAAACTGCATATTTAACACTTCTCTTCTGCATGAAAAGGCTACAGGAGTCATATCCTACCCAAACACTATATCAGCCAGCATCAGAAAACATGGCCATTCCAGGAAGCATTCTTTCTGCGCACAAAAGTTTTGTTTTTAAAGGCTCCCAATACTGCTGATACCCAAAGAACTCCTTTCTTTCTTTTTTACTTCCTGCAAAATGAGATGATGCACAAGGGAGTGATTGCAATGGATCAGACCCATGAATATTTCAATACTACCAAGGATCTTCCTCAGCATATTAGGTACCATAAAACAAACTGCTGTTTAAACACTGTCAAGCAACATCCCTCCCCTGAAAGAAGCCTCCCAGCAGCATATGGGAAGATGCCAGCGATGGGTTGAAGTTGCCTTCTTGAAATATTAGTATGTCGAGGAGAGCTGCAGCCAAGGTGGCAGGCCTCTGGCATTAAAGGACCTAGCAGGGATAGAACGTTATGGTTCCTTAATTCTTTTTGCACCTGAAATCTATCTATATTATTAGCATCACACAGGCACACAAACAAACACCCCAGTTGTAGCAAAGGGTGCTGGGAGAACATTGGACTTTACTTTTGCCACGATGAAAAGGCCACAACCACTGTCATGCCACGCAAAGGTCATAGGTGCTAGGGTTGCCATATTTCAAAAAGTGAAAATCTGGATACAAAAGTTGTTGGGGTTTGGGTTTTGTTTTTTTTTGCAGTGTGTGTGTGTGGCTGAGCTTTTATTGCCCCCCCTTTTTTTGAAGTTTTGGAGCTATTTTTAAGGAAATTCACCCAAAAAAATCAACACTTCCGCCATGGGTGGCCATACTTAACCCATTCGCCTGGATATTCCCATACATTTTTTTTACTGATTTACCGCTTTTGACTCAAGATGAGCAGATCAGTATGATTCTGTGCAAAAAATTCTGTGCATGTGGAAAGTTACCACATCGGGGCAATGGGTTAACGTCTAATCTCCCTGCCTGAGATAACTTGTTTTCTGATTGAGGGGATGTTTTTTTGCCCCTCAATGTCCACACATTGAGGCCACTTGTCCCTATTTTCATTGGAGAAATGTTGGAATGGGTATGGAATAGGACGCCTTTATTTTCATGGGAGAAACATGGGGGAGTATCACTTCTGAACTGTTGACATTTTGCAGGTGGAATTTAATGGCACACCTGCAAATGGAGGTTGCACAATTGAATGTCATGAACTGGCAGGGTTTCGGAGAGAAGGAAGAGGATCCTGGCAAGGGTTGCAGCTGGGAGTGGGTCACAGGAGAGCATGCTGAGGATGGGGAAGGAGAGGTCATTGTAGAGACGATAGTGAGGGGGCAGGGGTGAGAGAGGATGGTGAGGGGGCAGGGGATAGGGCATAGGAAGCCAAGCAGTAAGGCTGAACTACTATCTTGGCTTACTTGGACTGACCCCAGACTATGTTTCCTGATCTTGGCTTGTGTGGATTGGCTTCTGGACTTGGAACTTCGTCTTGGCACATTGTCTGCCACGTAGGCCAGGGGAATCAGGACATTCAAATGGATTGGGTGTTCTTCTCCCCCCCCCCAAAAAAAGGACTTTGTGGAGTCAGGAAAGCGATGGGGGAATGCATGAGTGGTACATGCTCTAGTTATCTCCTGCTTGGTCTACTGCAGTGCAGTCTACTTGGGGCTTCCTTTGAAGGTGACCTGGAAACTACAACTAATCCAGAATGCGGCAGCTAGACTGGTGACTGGGAGTGGCCACCAAGACCATGTAACACTGCTCCTGAAAGACCTACATGTTATGATATGAATGCAATGCAGCTGCAAATTGCTAGCTTGAAAACATCACATGATGGAATGTTGGGACTGTTCCGTGGGAAACAGAGGGACAGTCAATTCACAGGGCAAAGCACCAGAATTAGCTCAGAGTGTAATATGAGCTCTTCCTCTTGTTCCTGTACAGGAAGTACAGGAAGTGTTTGTCTCTCGACTGCTGGAGCTTGAAGAGAACAGTCATGTTTTTTGTAACGCTGCAAAGACAGAAATAAAGGCATGTAAATACGTTTCTGTCTATCTCTTTCCCCTGCCGGGGGGGGGGCAGGAAAGAGGGGGTGTGTTCTTCTCACGCTGAGAAGAATCGCCTGTCGCGACCTAGCCTGAATCTTGCTGGGGAATGCAGACAGGGAGGTCAACAGGAGATCAAGCCGGGTGCCTGGAGAGTTGCCAGTTACTACTGATATAGGCTTGAATTCCGACTCTACATTGGCTCTCGGTATGTTTCTGAGCACAATTCAAAGTGATGGTGTTGACCTTTAAAGCCCTAAACGACCTCGGCCCAGTATACCTGAAGGGGCGTCTCCACCCCCCCATCATTCTGAGGTCCAGCACCGAGGGCCTTCTGGCGGCTCCCTCACTGCGAGAACTGAGATTACAGGGAACCAAGCACCGGACCTTCACGGTAGTGGCTCCCACCCTGTGAAATGCCCTCCCATCTGTGTCAAGGAAATTATTATTATTATTATTATTATTATTATTATTATTATTATTATTTATACCCCGCCATCTGGCTGGGTTTCCCTAGCCACTCTGGGCAGCTTCCAACAAAATATTAAAATCTGCCTTCAGATGTCTTCTAAAAGTCTGGTAGTTGTTCTCTTTGACATAAACAACTATCTGACTTTTAGAAGACATCTGAAGGCAGCCCTGTTTAGGGAAGTTTTTAATGTTTGATGTTTTATTGTATTTTTAATACTCTGTTGGGAGCCACCCAGAGTGGTTGGGGAAACCCAGCTAGATGGGTGGGGTATAAATAAGAAATTATGATTATTATGATTATTATGATTATTATTATTATTCACTGGAAAATGTGGAATAACAACTGCAGGACACAGTGTCTTATGACCTCTCCACAAACAAATAAAAATGAATGCTCAATAAATAGTGGACATGGTATAACCTCCCCAAACATTTTGTGCAGATAAATCAGCTTGAAAGCTTAATAAGCAGGTTCTCTGGAAGCTGCCTTAAATTCTATGAACCCCCATGTGTTGTCTGAAGTGGTACGACCCAAACACGGAGTTATTACACCAGTACGAACTAGGAAAGGATGAGTAGGACCCCAAAAGAGAGGGGGGGAGGGAAGAAAAGGGCAGATTTGATTACAGCAAGAAAAAGTGATTATCCCAGCAATGAAAATAATTGATTTTTTTCTTTTCTTTTCCCACTGTGTGCTCCCAGCAACAGCAATGCTCCTCGTGTTAGAATCTTCATCCTGGTATCAACACATTTAAATAGTATGAACCTGCAAAATGATTTCAGTAGAAAGCAGAGATGCTTGCTCTGCAGATGGGAATAAACAGATCACTATTCATTACTGCCGTATAATGCTATCTGGATGTTCATCCTTGCCTGTATTCCGAGGCAAAGACTGCTTATAAATTAATTTTGATCGTACTGATAGCTGTTGTTGTTCTTCAACTCATTTTATCCAAAGAAGTGTGTTGAAATCAATCCTTGCTATCTCCACTCCCCCCCCCCCCCCATCCACCGTTTTCTTGCCTGCACTGGTACTAAAGCAATCTATTATTGGATGTCAGAAATTCTTTTTTGGAACTCAATGTAATCTCATCTCTAATGGTTTTATACAGTAGCTATTTAATCTTTTCCCTACAAGAGAGAGGACAGCCTAACCTTATTTTGCACACAAAGACACACTATTTTTTTATTCCAAACCCCACGGTTAAGGAGCTCAGTTAGGAGAGAAAACAAAGTTATCATTAGAAGTACAAAGTATCAAAAATACGCCCAAATAATATGTGCCTGTAACCACTAATGTTTCTGATGAAAATTTTCAAAATCAGAGCTGTCCCTGACACCATGAATGAAAGACTCCCTTATAGTCTGACTTACAGGAGAAGGATCAAAGTCATCTGCAGCAGAGAGAACAGTGTCCTAATTAGAAGGTGATGCTCAAGGCAGAAGTTTATGCAACAACATGTTATGCTGCTGTATAGCCCAGTTGGTTAGAGCATGGTGCTTATAACACCAGGGTTGCAGGTTCGACTCCCGTATGGGACAGCTGCATGTTCCTGCATTGCAGGGGGTTGAACTACATGATCCTCGTGGTCTCTTCCAACTCTATAATTCCATGAATTCATTTTTATAAATGCCATCTAAGATTAAGGTCTGGTTAAGAAGATAAAGTCCCGACCAGAGAAGAATGGAGGATTAAGTCGATGGATTATGCTGAAATGGCAAAAATGACCGGAAGAATCAGAAATCAGGAAGACAAAAATTTTGATAAGGAATGGGGGAAATTGTTTTGATTAATGTCTGCAGGAGACTTTGTGGATATTTAAGTTATAATTAGAAAAAATCTTAATAATTATTCATAAGGAAACAGTTTATAAGAAGTAAATAAGGAGGCCAGATACAGGATAAAGAAAGTCTTTTATTTGGTTGTTTGTATTGTTGTATGTTATGCTCACTGTATGTTATGTTCACGTTTAATGAGGGTGGATTTGTGTATTGGGGGTGGAGGGTTTATGTTATGTTGTAAATAAAATTCCAATAATTTTTTATTTTTTATTTTAAAAGCGATGCAGAAAATTTATAATTTATCTTAAAAACCACTTTAAACAGTTAAGATCATTAGCAGGATTGGAATAACACTTGTAGTTTAATGGTGAATTTGCATATAATGGAGATTTGGGTCATTATAAAAGATGCAGGAGGAAATGACTAACAATAAGACCCACAAAGGGGAGGAGGGAAGTCCAGGAGATTCTTTGGAATCTTGTTTTTTGGATGTATGTTGGGTATTTGATTGTAAAACTTTAATGTGAAAAACGAAGTAAATAAATTTATATATAAATACAAAAATAGATGAAGGTCTGGTTAACTACAATAACAATTTCTTCCTTTTTTGTAACGTACACAATATCTTTTGTTGTTCTGTTTCATTTTCTTGTTCTTTTTGGCTTCTTACCTTACTCTGTGCACTCGTAATTTTGGACTTTATTATTTTTCAATAAAGAATATAAGATTGAAAAATAATTCTTTGGGATAGTGGGCTTCGTTATCAGCTCTGTTCCCGGGCTCTGACTGCAACAACTTTTCCTGTACTTGGTGACAAAAATTGCCCAATCATGATCTTTTGGAGGTAAAGTATATGTAAGCCCAAGGTAGTAAGAACAATCTTTTCTCTGTCAAGGACCATATTCTCTCTGGGATAAATCTTTCAGGAACCACATGCTGATTGTGAGCAGGACTGAAGCCAGCAATGGGTGTGACAATAACCACAAATGGATGGGGCACAACCTTGCTTTCTTTCTGCCAGCCCTCCCCTGTTTCTGCTAGGAGAGGTACAAATCACTCTTACTAGTAGACCACATCGATTTCTTATAGAGGATTTTTTTAAAAATCGGACAGGAGGATCACATAAATTCAGGACACGGCCCATGGGCAGCCCGTCCTATTCTAGGAGGATAATATGAAGGCATGCAAACTTTTTTGAGCTTAATTAAGTCAGGGATTGGCTAACAGCTATAGGGGAGACCATCTGAAAACTAGATATGCCAACTTGAGTGGCCTATAAATATAACCATTATTAACAATTGTTAGAATATTTGGGAGGCAAGGATGTGGGTAACTTTGGGCATTTTAAGTGGCAATATGAATCCTTTCTGAACCCCTGAAACTGACTCTCAAGTATTTATTTGGTGGCTACTAATCTGTGTGAATTGGCAACAAGCAACAAAGGCAAGTAGCTTAAACCCACTTGGAGTGCTCAAAACAGCTTGACCCTTTGAGGGTCAAACCTGGAAATATTGGTGCATTCCTATGGCAGGTAATGCTGAGGTTTGCCTTTGATCTTGCATGTTGACCAATCCCTGCCATCAGTTTTATGGCTGCAACCCTGAAGAGAGGCTGTCATATATTCTTCCTCACAACTAGCCATTATTAACTATAAAGGTAAAGGTAAAGGGACCCCTGACCATTAGGTCCAGTCGTGGCCGACTCTGGGGTTGCGGCGCTCATCTCGCTTTATTGGCCGAGGGAGCCGGCGTACAGCTTCCGGGTCATGTGGCCAGCGTGACTAAGCCGCTTCTGGTGAACCAGAGCAGCGCACGGAAACGCCGTTTACCTTCCCGCCTATTTATCTACTGGCACTTTGACGTGCTTTCGAACTGCTAGGTTGGCAGGAGCAGGGACCGAGCAACAGGAGATCACCCCGTCACGGGGATTCAAACCGCCAACCTTCTGATCGGCAAGTCCTGGGCTCTGTGGTTTAACCCACAGCGCCACCCACGTCCCTATTGTTAACTATATATCTGCCAAATAACTGTTTGGGTAATTCCACCCACATATTAACTATTCCTTATCCTCCTTAACAGATCTTTATCATCTCTAGCCCCCCACCTTGGGTCAAATTTGACAGCACAATGATGCCAGGGTTTGTGACACTTTGAAGCCCCAGCAATCAGCTGTGAGTTGGCACTTCCAAGTGCCATGAAGGGCTTTTCCCTAGCTTCTTGCAAAGTCTCCTGCACTGCAGTCTACTGCATTGGCCTCTTCCTCAAGTTTCAGGCAACTGGCCATGTGATGAGGTCACAGCATGTGTTTTGCCTCTTATCATGAGGATGAGAGAGCAGAGGGAGATGTGGGGCTGTGACAGCATCCATAAATTACCATTGCATGTAGTGCTGGGCCAGGGGCACTTTCACCATGTGTTTGAGAGAGAGAGAGAGAGAGAGAGAGAAGAAGAAGAGGAGGAAGAGGAGTTTGGATTTGATATCCCGCTTTATCACTACCCTAAGGAGTCTCAAAACAGCTAACAATCTCCTTATCCCTTCCTCCCACATAACAAACGCTCTGTGAGGTGAGTGGGGCTGAGAGACTTCAGAGAAGTGTGACTAGCCCAAGGTCACCCAGCAGCTGCATGTGGAGGAGCGGGGAAGCGAACCCGGTTCACCAGATTACGAGTCCACTGCTCTTAACCACTACACCACACTGGCTCTCTTTAGAGAAGGATCTAAGTTTGAGTTCTTTCCATCTAATGTGGGGAGAAGAAGAAGAAAAATCAGCAGTTAAGTTGCTTTATATACAAATGTCCTGGAAAATATCTGTGAGCTATAGAAACTTCTCACTTTCAGAGCCATCTTATTTAATTAGTATAAATAATCTTTTTACTGCAATGCGTTAACGATTTTTAGATAAATACTTGGGTTATTTTTTATAATGATAAAGGAGCTAGTCCCTCGCCTGTGCTGTTTATCTCTGCGTGTTTGGGTCTCTTAGTACTTTCTTTGCCATTTGGAATTTTTCAAAATCAATTAAGTATACCAATGCACACTGATAATTAGATTTCAGAGACAGTTAAGGGCCTGCATGAAGATTGAATCGAGGGACTTATCCCTGGACACAAATTAACTTTGCTGAAAATGTGGAGCTGAGTATCAAGTGGGAAGCCTTATCTCTTTAATTGTTGTAATTAGATAGTGACATTTAATATTACATGAAACGAAGATAGTGGAAAAGACAATTAATTAGAGTTGCATTGTAAATATACTTGCTAAACTACAACTTCACCCCATTTGTTCATATACTTGAGAGTCCACACTTGAAGGTTGAAATGTCCCTGCAACTACCTTTGTTCCTTTTCCTTCTTTGTCCTTGGCTGTATTGGCTTTCTTTGACCAATATTGCATATTCTGGAGACCATACAGCCGTCAGTCATCCATCAGCAAAACAGTGGTGAGAAATGGTATCATATGTCCACATATTTCCAGATGTCTCAGTTGATAAATGCAATAACTATAATGCAACCTCTCCACCACACTGACTAGTGATTTAGGGACATTGGAGAGAATGACTACCTTGCCCTCTTTCCATTATTTTGGTGATCCATCACTGGTAAGTTTGATGGCGTGCTTCTTCATTGGGTGCATTCAGTGGCTCAGTTTCCACCAAAAAGGCTTCTGCATCTCTGCACCAACCTTAATTTCTGGATCAGATACGGAGTAGTAGAGCACCTGTTTTGCATGCAGAAGGTCCCAGGTTCAGTTCCCAGAAGCTCCAGTTAAGGCGATCTGAAATCCTGTACAGCCATTGCCAGTAGGTGAATACAATACTGAGGTGGGTGTGCCAATGATCTGACTCCATATACTGACCCTCCAAATGTCCCTGTTTTCCAGGGACAGTCCTGGATTTACAAGAGCCATCCCAGTTTCTGATTTGATCCCGGAATGTCCTGCTTTTCCTTAGGACACCCCTTTTTTCATATGAGAAATGTTGAAGGGTAGGGTATGGAGTTTGTAATCCCCGATCCACGGAGATAAGTACAGTCGTACCTCTGGTTACAAACTTAATGCTTTCTGGACATCTGTTCTTAACCTGAAACCGTTCTTAACCTGAGGTACCACTTTAGCTAATGGGGCCTCTTGCTGCCGCCGTGCTGCTGGCGTGCAATTTCTGTTCTCATCCTGAGGTAAAGTTCTTAACCCAAGGTACTACTTCCGCGTTAGCGGAGTCTGTAACCTGAAGTGTTTTTAACCTGAGGTGTTTGTAACCCGAGGTACCACTGTAACTAAACAACCTCTGGAAGGCATCTGAAGTCAGCCCTGTATAGGGAAGTGTTATTGTTGTCACCCCCCCCCCCATGCTTAAGGTTTTATTTTGTTTTATATATGTTGGAAGTCACCCAGAGTGGCTAGGGCAACCTAGTCAGATGGGATGGGTAGGATATAAGTGTTGCTGCTGCTGTTGTTGTTATTGAATAGGAAGTCCCTATTTTAATTGGAGAAATGTTGGAGGATATGCATCCACTATAAAGTTGCAACTGGTTTAGTGCAAGAGAGAGTTTCCAAAGGAAAGAAAATATGCTAAGACAAACTAACCAATCCTGCTGCCTTTCCTCCCCTCCACTTGCAGAGCCAACACACCTTGATCTCAGTCTACCTGCATAGAGAGGCTGGATCTCAGCATTTGGTAGTTGCATGGGTAGTAAGTGCATGTGTTCTCTTGTGGAAGACAAGGCAGAAAGCTAAAATGAATTGACACCAAAGTCAGTTAACATCCCTCTT